GTAAAGAGGAAAGAAAAAAAAAAAAAACTGTATCATTAGTGTGTGCTTCTGTCTCATGGTAGTCTTCTAGCTGCCATTCCACTTTATGCAAAACACTCCCATCTTCTCAGTTTAATTTAAGGCACAAAGTAGAACTACCCCTATCATCTGTATGTATCCTTAATGATGAGTAGCAATTGAATGAAGTACATATTTATGATTTCCTGACCAATTTTTAGTCCAGATGCAACAAGTACATACATCTGATTTTATGCTAGACATTTAGTCTTGAAAATGTATTTACATTACAATTTCTTTGACTGAATCCTGTTTTAAAACCAGCTGAAACAGAACATAGTTAACATTATCCTACAGTGACTTTTGCATAGTAAAATCATTGTGCAAAGTTAATTCCCTATACAAAATGTTTAAAGAGTGCTTTTCATCTGTAAGGTATTGTAACAGCCACTAAGGTACAATTGCCAAAATGATGCTAAAAGTAATATTAAGAGCTATTTATTGAGCATCCATGCTTTACATAGAAAATATCATTAATGAGGTAGTTATTATTATTAATCCCATTTTATAAAAAAGGAAACTGACACCTTGGAGAGTTAATAATTTACTCAAAGTCAGGGCCAAGATAAATGGAAGAAATATTTCTGGTTTTCTACCCCAAAATAATTTACTGCTGATGAAAAGTAAAATTTTAATTTATCAATCTAGAAGCAAGTTGTGACATTCTGTAATATGTAATACAAAAATTATTCATAATTTGATTCTACTAATTCATCAAATACTCAATACAAGGTCTTATTTTCTACTTCATTATTATTGAACTGCCCTAAGTACTTAACATATAAATATCAAAATCTATTTAAATAACAGTACTACTTATCTTGAAAAGTTCATGTCAAGGAATCTAAAAGACTGCTTGCTTAAAATTTTATATCTGTGTATATTTGCATTAATATATGTTTTTTGAGGGTACATGAACTTATTTGCACAGTTTGAGTAATGTACTATGTTCCTTTATAGAGCTCCTAGAAATTTCAATTATAATTGCTGTAGGCCTGATGGTAAGACCTAGATTCATTCACTATTAAACCAGAGAAATCAAATTATTCAGTATTTCCAAGTGTAAAAAGAAGTAACCGTGTTTTTAATATTGTAAGCTAGAGTTGCATTCTCAGGGTCGATATAAATAAGATGTGACTTTTAAGGTGCTCATTTCAAAGAGGTAGATCATGAATTTATAATGCTTTATCTGAATTCTCTCTCCCAAGTCTCTTTCTTAAATAAATACATAAGTCAGCACTCCAACTTTGCCCACAGATTGTGATTCATAAGATTTTCTTGGAAGAGAAAGCCACAGACGTAAACACCATTTTCAAAATAAGGTGAACACTCAAATTGTTGGTCACTGAGAGATCCTCAGGTAAGGGAAGGCCATTAACATCTCTCAAATCCCACGCTCTCCCAAGGTCCGTGCTAGCTGCTTTCTATACATCATCTCTTTCAAATCTCATCCTCATAACAATGTTTCAAAGTAGTTATTATTCTTCCCATTTTAAAGATATGAAAAACTGAGGCCATGGCTGTTTAATAGGCCCGAGATCACAAGGCCACAGCCTCAGTGCACGAACTCTGTCTGACTCTATAATTTGTACATTTTCTTATGTAGTTTAGGGCATGTTCTATTTTCTAGCTTGACATGCTTAATTATTACATCAATGACCTAAACACAACACATGAATAATTAAGAGAGGTTAAAGGGGAGAAATGGCATTAAAAAAAGAAAGTGTGGACTGCATCATACTATACCTTTGAACTTCTCCCTAGCACCTTTCCCAATTATTAGTGCACAATAATTATTTATTGAATAATAAAATGTATAAGAATATTAGTAAACCAAAGTACTGCAAGGGTGATAAAACATGGAACTTGTGAGGTTGATAAAAGAAGAGGTATTTAGTTACAGAAGACAGAGATGATATAAGTGAAGTATAAATCAGGGCAATATTTTTAAGAGCAAGAAAGAAAAATAAAGCCTAAAAATAGATTTGTGAAACACTGAAATAATGAGGTAATGACTTTTACAATGGCTTGAACATACTAGCTTAGTATAGGTATAGCTATCCATTCAAATGGTGAAACATTCATAAGAACTTGAAGAATATTTAAATAAGAATTACAAATAAGTAAACATTAATGTATTTCACTATAGAAATGGTTGTAAATGTAAGATAATTTTCATAAATTTGTTTAGGTTCCTCCTAATTACGGGAGTTAACAGAGGTGAGAGCAATTATTAAATGTTACCTTTTAGTTGAAAAAAACAAACAAGGAAAAAAAATTGCGCTGTGAAGTTTGCATTTGATAAAAATAGAACACGTCACACAGGAGTTGATTCATAATTGAATTGAACCATCAAGAAAGGTTGTGGAGCCATCTTCAATCAAACTCTTTAAAAATAAGATAAATCCTGATCCATCTTAAATGATGTCAGCTCTATGCCTCACATTCTTTAGATAATTTCCTTGTCCTTTGATTCTATTTTTAGAGTGACTTAAAATTAGGAGACCTTGAAATCACATCTGGCTCATTACCTCATGTTTTAACCAAAAATTTGTGGTTAAATTCAAAATTAAATGCTTAGCATTGCAGAAATTTACTCTGTATTGTACCAGATATACTACTACTGGGCTTTACAAAATTCTGTGAATTTTAAAAGGTTCTGCTTCAAGACTCAACAATTCCAAAGCCATAATAATAACCATTAGCATTTTATGTGTATGACCTAATGTACTTCTTGCAAAACCCATAATACTATTTTCTACATTTTACAAATAAGGATAAGGATTAAGTAAATTGTCGAAAATTGCCCAAGTGAATAGAAAATCCAGAATGTGAACCTAAACCCTTAGAATCCAGAGCTCATTTTCTAACATGTTTGGAAACAGTTACTAAAACCTGGACAATTTTATCTCCTTAATACAGTTGGAAAGTACCAATAAAATTTTGTGAGTAACATAAATTTGGGTAGAAATATTGATGTAATCGCTAGTTATTCAACAGCAAAGGTGCAAAAACATCCCCTATAGTTTCTCTTGATTGAAGAAAAGCAATATTCTACCTTAAAAAAAATAAATATCCAACAGATAGTCTTTTGTTATGAATCAGCTTCATTAATCAGGGAGTTTAAAAAAAAACATTTTTTGTGTGAAACAAGGAAAAATGTTTTATCGATTCTATAGTAGCTACAGAAAAAATTTTCTCTTTACGCATACCTTCTTAGAGACAGACATACATTTGCCTTTAAATTTTTTTACATGTGCATATGCACCACAAAAAAGAATAACATTTTCTCTAATATTAACCAAAGAAAAATTTCATTAAGTCAGACCGGATACATAAAATAAATTTACCCTAAAAGTGAAAAAGCTCCTTTTGAATGACAGCATCATGCTTTATCATACTTTACCTTGCTCCCTAACCTTTTTTTTAAACCAATTATGTAACATTTTTTCTGGAACTAATTCCTGAAAAAAATAGCATCGGGTATGCAATAGGTGTTTAATGATTTACGACCCCAAAATTTGCTTGCTTACTCCCAGGTCACTGGGGACACTGGGCCCCAAATGAGCAAGGAGGGGATCTGTCCCCACCCAGCCTGCCCCAGAGAAAGAAGCCAGGAATTGCACCCTTTGCCAAGAGGCATATTGGAAAGACTATTTAATCTATTAAATATATATATCTTCTAAATACTTAGATATGTACTTAACTGTATCAAAGAGAACCATACAATATAAAGTTTACCCACTGTTTTTAAGTCAAATGTAATCCACAAGTAAAGTTTTTTTTTTTAGTTTCCAAAGTATTTTTTTTCCCATTTTTTTAATCAAGAAATTCTTCCCTATGTTAAAAGACGGAAGTATTATGCAATAAGGTAAAAATGCCAGAAGTCTATATTTTCTTTCAAATCTTAAAATGTGGTATTATGGTACTTTACATATAATAAATTTTGGTGCAAATTCTTGTGTAACATTCTGCTATAGTATACAGAATACAAACATTTGTGTATATCATGAATAACATTAGAAATGACATCATAATCAGATATATTGTATCTTCATTTTTGTTTGCATTATATTTTCCAGCTTCTGGTTTCAGAAAATTATCACTGGAGTCCCTCTCTTTTTCATGCTCAGCAGTGAGCAATTTGAAAAGTCATGCAAGGGTGAAAATGTGATTGAAATATAGGGATCTTTCTTAATGAAAAATGTTACTGCTTTAGAAATTATGGTTAAAACTATTTCAAAACTCGCTCATATTCTTAAGCTCTATGACTTAATAGTCTTCACTTATAAATATACCATCAATTGTAAATTACTTGGCACCAAATACAAAGTTCTTATGAACTATACATATTTACATAAAATTATGTTGGTATTTTGGAGTATTTTGATTGGCTTTTGTTTTTCTTAAAATGATGAATCCTTAGATTCTTTACAGCTAAATGCAATTTTTATTCATGAAAATGTTGCCAAATCCTTGAATCAAATGGGAGGATCTGTTGGTATTTTTGAACTTCTAAATACATATTGACATTCAATCTCTGACTTTACAACATGATTAACCTGAAAATATTTCTTTGGCGTATTATTGTTTGCTACCTATTTTAAAGCTTTAAAATTATGCCCAATTTGAATGTGAATATCCATAAAGATTTCTGTTCAAAGAAATAGCAAGTAGAATTGACTAATTCTTACATGAGTATGTAAGAAAACAAGATGGATACGTCGAGCAGAGGTAACACTTTGGATTTTATAGTTTATCAAAAAGAGAAAAATGTTTAAATGATGTTCATTGAACCTCCCATATAACCAGCATAGACACATTTTTATTTTTAAATCTGAGTTAAGAAGATTGTGTTTTACAACCTAATTAAAATTTAAGAAAAAAAAAGTGAATTATTGATAATAGCAACAGATGGTTGAATTTTAAATTTTCTGTCCTACCTGGTCCATCCCAGTCATCTGTGTCAACTCCAGGTTGCCCGGGTTTCTCTGATTGTGTGTCCCCATCTGACTCTGCCGTCTCCTGGACGCCTTCATCATCGCCTGGAAAACACCAACACACAGAGAAAGGGAAATGATTAAAGCCCTCTATTGGACATTGAAATCCTCATGGAGGGATCTCCGTAGCATATGTCTAATTATATATTTGTTACATACATTGTCATACAGACAAATGTCCATGATTGTTTTGATATCTATTATGGCTTTATAATAAAGAAAACCAGCATTATCCATCAATAAATAAAGTTAAATGTTTTAAACAATAAAGAACATTTCCATTAAAATTTTCACTTTGAGTTATTAACATTATATAGAAGAAAAAAAGTTTAAAAGCAGTATATTATTTTTGTAGTGCCTTCAATACAAAAAACTTAACTTGCATATTTCTGAATTATAATTTTTATAGAGCCAAGATGCAGCAAAATTAAATATCGTAGAAAAAGATATATTAATGTTTTAGGTTAAATTTAGGCTATTTTGAAAAAGATTTTGTTCCCCCATCTTTAAGCTTGCTAAAACTAGGTCATATTTATTTTAAAAAATCGGTCTAGAAAAGCCATAATTAAATGTTAGCATACAGATGAGCTAGTGACTCAGTCTTCACAATGCAAGAAGCTATAAACCTGTACTTGTATTTCATGCCTTCATTTTTACATAACAAAAGGAAAAATGTAATATATTTTGAGCAGAAGTGTAGTTATGACAAAGAAGGAGAAACACATTAACAATGCAATCACATTTTAAAAGTAAATATCTAATTTGTAAGTACCTTGATTTTAAGTGATAATGTAGCAAAGTATGTGCTGCTTTAAAGGAAAGTAATCCACTTTAACAGGATGAACACAAAAATATTAAAAATACTTCTTATAAATTATAATAGAGATCAGAAAACAGAATAATAAGAAAAAGAAAACATGATGTCAGGGATAGAAAAAAAGTGCACACTAAAAACATGGCAACTAATCCTTGAATCTAATAATGCTAAAAATTTTAAATTAAATTGCTTGACCTCTGAAGTATTCAATAACTGCTTTCCACATAGTTGCCCAAATCTTGAATAGTTTTAAATCTTTACATTACACAGAAAAATACACTGAATTTTCAAAATTTTTCAAGGTAACCTAAAAACTACAAAATTTTCAGGAAACCATTATTACTACAAATGATATTGTGATGTTAATGAGTTTTGAACTTTGAACTCCATTCTTTTTTTTTTTTTTTGTATGTAGCTTCACAAAATGAATCGCTTTAAAAAGTGGAAAAAGGTAAAGTGAGAATGTGGAAACCCAGTGACAGCTGTACTGAACTTCACTAACAGAGAAGCATCAGCTCTGGTGGGTAACAAAGAGAAAACTACATACCCCACACCAGCAAACCCCATGTCTGGAATTGAAGGCTCTTTGAAAGTTGAGCTATCCCTTCCTTTCAGGATGATCAGAATGAACAGCAATAAAATTCACTCCAGAAAATGCTTATTGAGCATCTACCATGTGTAAGGAACTGCAGTAGGTATAGTTGGATATATATGGAAAAACACAGTTCCTTTTCAGAAGTAGTATAAAACGCATTAATTTCACTAATAAGTAGGGTGTAAGACTAGGTCAAAGCGCTTTAAGAAAGGTACAAAGACTCAGTAATAAGTTTGAATCTCCTGTGCTCCTGTTTGCCGGTCACAGAAGAACACAGATGTATCAACCAATTATCTTACACGAGCAGGGGAAGCGTTCTGCTCTCACTTCACAGACACAAAGAGGGCTGGTCCTCAGCCTGCACACACAAGTAGGCTCTATGGCCTGCTAACATACTGAAATACTGTGAGCTCTGACTGGGCCCAATACCCCTCAGGATACCCCGCCCACCCTGGCCACTCGCCAGTGAGCCCCCTCCACTTCCCCTAAACCAGAAATTAAGGGATTAAATTTAGACAGCAGTAGGTTTATGGCATCTGACCTGGTTGGTGAGAGCCAAGGCTGTGCCAGTTGTTAAATATTTAAATGTTATAGGTGCATACATGTAACTATTGAACAAATGCCATGTATTTAGCAGACTGGTGTAACTGGAATGTTTGCTGTGGCACAGAACCCTGATGTGTCCCCGGACCTGGTTACTTTCTACTTGCCCCTTCTTGCTGGCCTCAATAGACTCTCCACCCTCTCTGCCATGCTTTGTGCTCCCACGGAGGCTGACTTTTGTGGACTCCATCACTGGGGCTCCCTTGTTCTCTGATTTCTGGTTGGCTTTAGCCAATGGAGGCACTGAAGCAGACCAGAGGACCAGAGGGCAGGTACTAACCCCAACGCCATCATCGTCTTTGATGGTCTCCCATTGTGGTCAATGACTGCATTGAATAGTTAGAGCTCCTGCATGGTGGCCTCTTTCTCCCAGGCTCCCATGCAGCCATCCACTCCATGAGTCTTCAGACCAGGGCTAACAGCTTCCTATCGCTTTCACTTCCTTGAACTCTGCTCACACCTTATACACTGTCCCTTCACCAACACTTCTTTAGTGAAACCCCTTGAACATTTCATCAGTTTCTTTCTGAGACCCTTACTGACATAATCCATTTCTTCCCACACTTTACATGCTATCTTCATGACTTTTAGCCAGCCATGACTTCAGCAATAATTTTGTAATACTTCCTTTAAAGTACTACACTTTGTATAAGCCATATGAATGGATTTTAATAAACAAAAACTTTTATCATCGTTATAAATGGAAAATCAGTGTCAGATGCCAAAAATAAAAGGCAATCATAAAAGTAGCTTCAATCAAAGTAAAAGTAACACGATCACATTCTAGCTACTGTGTCTATTTAGACTGTGAGTCTCTGGTCTCATGTCCTTGTAAGAGGGGGAAGAGTAGTCCGTAGTGTGGCTTTTAAGTCACAGTAATATAAAGTTGAAAATTTCTCATTGAGAAACAAAGAATATAAGAAACTTGAAAACTTTCTCACCAGGGATACCCGACCCAATTTAGGAAAGTACTGACCTTTCTAACACTTTATTTTTCACGAGGACTAGAATCCACAGTAGAATCAACCACCTAGATAAGTGACTTTTTTAATGCATTTCCACAGACTGGGTGGAGGTTTAATTCAGGGTGCTAAGGCAGGGGAGTTTGCTAAGAAAAATGTTCTCACCCACAGTGAAGCGTAAAGAATGCAGCCTAGAATTTTTCTTCTGTTGCCACGCAGCTGTGCAGCCATCTGTCCCCCCGTGCTTAACCCTAAACTGACCCTTTTGAGGACAGTGCTCATACACCTTGTGTCTCCCTGTTTGGTTCCAAAGGATGGCCGGTTAGTCAAATACAGGTAAGATTCCTCATGGGAGGAACAACCTAAGACAGGCATGGTCGGTTGGAGGCCATTAGGAGAAATCTCGGGGATGAGGGAGGTGGGCATGAGCCCTCACTCGCACCCCAAAAAGACTGGAGGTTTTCTACCTCTGTGGCTACATTCCTTCCCTCAGCCTGCTTGGGAAGTGACCTGATGGTGTGATAGTATCTGTCCTCAGCACAATAATCTTATCTTCCTGGGGTCTTCGCATATAGGGTGAGTGAAGGCAGAGCATCTGTCTTATCACAGTGAGTGGACTCTAGGTAATAGCAGCTTGCAGGCATGGGTAACCTGGCTTGAGCAAGTTCTCAGGAATGAGACTCACAGACTGTGGAGAGAACAATGCTACTTCCGGGTGGGTGGAGAAATAGAAGCGGTGTGTTGGCCGATTCAGGGCTCTTAGTCCATGAGGCTGGAGACCCTTGGCCCCACACTCATTTAACTCTTGACTGCTGTTTCTTTTATTTCTTAACCCTTCGCCGCCCCCTCTCATTCTCCCACTGCTCATGTCGTGTGGGATGCAACATTCTTCTTCTTCTAACTAAATTTATTGGGGTGACATTGGTTAGTAAAATTATATAGGTTTCAAGTGTACAATTCTGGAAAAATACATCATCTATATATTGTATTGTGTGTTCACCACTGAGTGTCAGTTCTCCTTCCATCATCATATATTTGCCCCCTTTACCCTCTTCTACCACCCGTTCTCCCTTACCCTCTGGGAACCACTAAACTGCTGTCTGTGTCTATGAGTTAATTTTGCTTGTTTCTTTGCTTTGCTCGTTTGTCGCTTTTGGTTTTTTTTTTTTTCATCTTTTTTTATTAGTTTCAGGAGTACAAAACAATGTAACAGTTGGACATTTACACCCCTCACAAAATTTTATATCCCACATATGAGTCAAATCATATGGGTCTTGACATTTTTGGTCTGATTTATTTTGCTTAGTATGAATGTCTCAAGATCCATCTATGTTGTCACAAATGGCAGTATTTCATCTTTTCTTATAACCAAGTAATATTCCATTGTATATACTTATGTACCACATCTTTTTTATCTAATCACCTATTGAAGGGCACTTCATCTGTTTCCATAATTGGCCACTGTGAATAATGCTGCAATGAACATAGGGGTACACGTATTTTTATAGATAAATGTTTTCAGATTTTTGGAGTAGATAACCAGAAGAGGGATTGCTGGGTCATATGGAAATTCTATTCTCAATTTTTTGAGGAAAACTCCACACTGTTTTCCATAGTGACTGAACTCAGCAATAAAAAAGCACAGTATAGCAGATTGAATAAAAAAATAAAATCCAATCATTTGCTGCCTTCAATAGACACATCTCAGCTGCAAGAGCAAATATACACTCAAAGTGAAAGGGTAGAAAACAATACTCCAAGTAAATGGCATCCAGAGAAAAGTGGGTGTGGCCGTATTTATATCTGATGAAATAAGACTTCAAGATAAAAAAGGTAACAAGAAACAAAGATGGACATTTCATAAATGATAAAGGGGACAATAAAACAATAAGACATAACACATCAGTATATATGCTCCCAATCAGGGCACACCAACATATATAAAGCAACTAACAGAACTAAAGGGAGATACTGACAGAAATACAATTATAGCACGGGACCTAAATACCCCATTGACAGCTATGGATAGATCATCCAAATAGAAAATCAATTAGGAAATATCACCTTA